AATTTAAATATTCTTGCAAGCGTCTAAAAATTTTTTATAAATTTCTCCATATGACTGAAAGTCTCAGTGTAGGCAATACATTCATGTTTCACAGTAAAATGGTGTCTAACCTGAACTGTGTGAAGTGATGTAATCAGAATGCTTTCCACAGAATCCCTCCTAACTAAAAAGCCATAGTTACAGAAGTTTATCAAAGATATGAGATACTTTTTCTCCATAACCAAAATATTGATATTACTAATCTTTCCTTTTTAAGATGAGTTTAACAACAAAAGTAAACATGCCACCTTGTCATAGTTGTAGTTATTTTTTTCAATTTATTATTGCATTTTAGGTTTTGGGGTACATGTGCAGAACATGGAAGACAGTTGCATAGGTACACACATGGCAGTGTGTTTTGCTTCCTTTCTCCCCTTCACCTACATTTGGCATTTCTCCCCAGGCTATCCCTCCCCAGCTCCCCCTCCTGCTGGCCCTCCCCCTTTCCCCCCAATAGACCCCAGTGTTTAGTACTCCCCAGTCCATGTGTTCTCATTTTTCATCACCCGCCTATGAGTGAGAATATGCGGTGTTTCATTTTCTGTTCTTGTGTCAGTTTGCTGAGAATGATGTTCTCCAGATTCATCCATGTCCCTACAAATGACACAAACTCATCATTTCTGATTGCTGCATAATATTCCATGGTGTATATGTGCCACATTTTCCCAATCCAGTCTATCATTAATGGGCATTTGGGTTGATTCCAGGTCTTTGCTATTGTAAACAGTGCTGCAATGAACATTCATGTGCATGTGTCCTTATAGTAGAATGATTTATAATCCTTTGGATATATACCCAGTAATGGGATTGCTGGGTCAAATGGAATTTCTATTTCTAAGGCCTTGAGGAATCGCCACACTGTCTTCCACAATGGTTGGACTAATTTACACTCCCACCAACAGTGTAAAAGTGTTCCTTTTTCTCCACATCCTCTCCAGCATCTGTTGTCTCCAGATTTTTTAATGATCGCCATTCTAACTGGCGTGAGATGGTATCACAATGTGGTTTTGATTTGCATCTCTCTGATGACCAGTGACGATGAGCATTTTTTCATATGATTGTTGGCCTCATATATGTCTTCTTTCGTAAAGTGTCTGTTCATATCCTTTGCCCAATTTTGAATGGGCTTGTTTGTTTTTTTCCTGTAAATCTATTTGAGTTCTTTGTAAATTCTGGATATCAGCCCTTTGTCAGATGGGTAAACTGCAAAAATTTTTTCCCATTCTGTTGGTTGCCGATTCACTCTAGTGACTGTTACTTTTGCCGTGCAGAAGCTGTGGAGTTTCATTAGGTCCCATTTGTCTATTTTGGCTTTTGTTGCCAATGCTTTTGGTGTTTTGGTCATGAAGTCCTTGCCTACTCCTATGTCCTGGCACCATAAAAACCCTAGAAGAAAATCTAGGCAAAACCATCCAGGACATAGGAGTTGTAGTTTTTGAGACCAACACAAATACCATGGAATACTATGTAGTCATAAAAAAGAATGAGATCATGTCCTTTGCAGGGACATGGATGGAGCTGAAGGCCATTGTTCTTATCAAACTAACACAGTAACAGAAAACCAAATACCACATATTCTCACTTATAAGTGGGAGCTAAATGATGAGAACACATGGATATCTAGAGGGGAACAATGTAAGCTAGGGACTACTGGAAGGTGGAGGGTGGGAAATGAGAGAGGATCAGGAAAAGTAACTAATAGGTACCAGGATTAATACCTAGGTGATAAAATAATCTATACAACAAACCCCCATGATACAAGTTTACCTATGTAAAAAATCTGCACATGTATCTCTTAAAATAAAAGTCAAAAAATACAAATAAAGTGTAAAGATAACACTTTTTATTTATCAATTGAAGCAATAAGATATTTGAAGTAGTATAGTACATAATTATTATAAATGTACCCTAGATGGCTTAACCCATTTATGCCTAAGGTCACAATTTTTGGAATTTCTGCAATCATGTTGCAATGACCTTGAACAGTAGAAGGTAAATAACTCCCACATGCTTAGTGTTCCAATAATGGAACACTAGGATATATAGCTGAAGTGAACATGGGCCAAGATGATCTAGAGCAGGACTATCAATAAAACTTTCTGTGGCTGGTGGTTATCGAAGCTGGAAAGGTTCGAGGGTGAGGGCCTGAACTTGATTTGATTTTGCAGGCTCAGAGATAGAGGGGAATTTGCCTCAGGATGAATTGTGCCTTGAGACTCATCAATATCTAATTTATATTATATTGGACTTTTGAGTTTATGCTGAAATGAGTTAAGACTTTTGGGGCTTTTGGGATGAAATGAATGTATTCTGTCTGTGAGAAGAACATGAATTTTGGGATAAAAGGGCCAGAAAGCTACGGTTTAAATGTTTGCACCCCCCCCCCCACTTAACCTTATGGTAAAATTTAATTTCCATTGCAACAGTAGCAAGTGTGACCTTTAAGAGATGATTAGGACATGAAGACTCTACCCTCATGAACAGAGTAGTGTCATTATTGTGGGAGTAAGTTTCATATAAGAACAAGTTTGGCCCCATTTTTTCTCTGTCTTGCTCTTTCACTTTCCATCATGGGATCATGACAGAAGAAGGCCCTTACCATATTCCAGCCCCTTAAGCTTGAACTTCCCAGCCTCTAGAACTATAAGCCAATAAATTCCTGTTCATTATAAATTACCCAGTCTCTGGCATTTTGTTATAGAAGCACAAAAAGGACTAAGACAAGGACAATAGAAGTAGGTTGCATTTGGAGAGAGATAAGAAGAGGGCAAAGATGAGTTTAGCTTTGGACCTTTTCAATTTGAAGTTCTTGTGGGACATTAACATCGAAAGAAAGCAGTAAGATATACATGTATAAAACTGAAAAGATCATTCTCAGCTGGAAATATAGATGGATAGTCATCAACAGACTGAAACTACACAAGTGGATGAATTCTTGCAAAGAGTACATGTGAAGTGAGAAAAGAAAAGGGAAGAACTTTATAGACATGAGTCAGAAGTAGCTTGGTGAACTGCAGATTCTGTATGGGCTAAAAATGTGAGTTGGTTTTTAAAATTCTAATTTACTTTACCCATAGGAGAAGTAACATATGCATGCCTTAGATGATACCTTCTTGGAATCAAGCCAAAAAATACAAACTGAAAGTCGTTCCCATGAAGAATCCAAAGACCTTAATAAAATAATTTATTTTTATTTTAATTTTACTTTAGGTGCATACTATATCTGGCATTTCTCCCCATGTTATATTATTTCTCCCTACCCCCCGCTGTCTCTCCCCTACCCCTGCCAACTGCCTCCAGTGTGTGATGCTTCTCTCCCTGAGTCCACGTGTTTTTTTAAAAACTGAGAGAGTTGCTTGGGGCATCAAGGAGCATGCGAATGGAGAGGGGTTTGTCAGAAAGAGTAGCATAGATAGACTAGACCAGTCTCCTGAAGGTCTAGTTTCATACCATGAGCAAGCTTTCTTCTTGGCTCCTTAGTTTATATCCTGTAAACTCACTAAATTAATATCTACTTTAATTTGCTTTCCCAGAAAGGCTTCTTTTTGAGAAACAGATATTTCCCACTAAGGTCTAATGTTTGATTCTCTGATACCAATTGATTCTATGTGAATAATCCTTCCTGAATTGAATCTGTCCTTGTTTAACTGAATACATACAAGACCTGTATTTGGAGAAGAAAGTCCAAGCCTTGCCATTGAGAGAGAGTAGTTACTACGAGAATTTTTCCAAATATCAGTTCTATATTCAAGTCTGCTCTTTTTCCACCAGGGTATTTTTCATAGGGTTCCAATGAAAACTTCCCAGCTTTAGGTTGAATCTTCTTTTCCATGGTTTTTTCCATCTATATACCTACTGTCTGGAATTCAGGACTAGAGCTGCTCTATTCCCCAGGGTCACTAGCTTAAATTTAGCTTCACAGGAGTGTTTACTCTATCTCTCTAATGTCTAGCTCAGTTTCAAAATTTAGTTGGTCTCTTAATTTCCATATATAATGATCTCATTTCTCATAAGAATTCCTGCTCTTAGTTCAAAATTTGTTTTGGTCCCAATGGTGACGTTGACTTCTTATTAAAAATCACCTAACTGTAATCGATGTCATATTTTGGAACTCACTTATTTTTCACTGTGGTCTTCCTCATATTGCACAGGTACTATTTTTTTCAGCATGTACAAGGTAATTGTACATTATACAAAGGGAGTGATCATTCAAAAACCATTTACTAGCTCCCTATTATATCACCTGGTTCAGGACCTGGAAATGTATCAAATAAAGAAGATACAATCTCTGTCCTCATGGCATTTAGATTAATTGATAGCACAAATAATAAACAATTAGTTATATAATTTATATTTTTATTTATAATTGGAATAAATACTGGTGAAAATATCTCTAGAGATTAAGAGAGGTATAATAAGGATAGAGGGCTTAGTTTGAGGCGATACTGTCTATAAGAGCTGTTCATTTCCCTAGACATATAATGGGAAATGAAATGATGAGTCATATTACCCTCCACAAATTTTCCCACTGGATGTGTGGAGTGAGATACAAGTTTGATACCACGGACAGCTATAACTCCATCATGAATCCCAAAGTGACTTATCTATCAGATTACAGGTAAGGCAGCATGTACAACGATGAGATAGAAAGATATTTCTTTGGATAGAGTTCTAAAAGTAGACTGTCAAATGGCTCTTCTAGCTATAAATTAGTATTTTGCTTTCTGTTTAATCTCTTGGTTATGTCACTACTTTTGTGACAGTGGGCAAATGGGATCTTACGTTCCTCATTTTAAAAATATATGACTGAGCCAAGTCTGTGAGTTTTGTTGGTATTTATCATCTCGAATCCCCCAAGCTCCAGTTTAGCTGGATTGGAAAAACAAATCTTCATTTTTCATCCAGTATCACCATCCCATTATCAGAGCCAACAGTAGTTTTAGAAATAGTGTAATTCATACCTTTTCTGAATGCTTCCCCAAGAGGCATTGATATTCTCTGTTATCATGTGGACTTTTCTGGTATCATCTGCAGAATAATCCCGGAGAAGTTTCAGGGCCAAGTCATTTGCCACATCTACATTTATCTGCCATTGGTGGAGGTCTTTGGCCAACTGCTATAGATTTTTATGGGAAAGAGAATGAATGTCAGTTTTTATTTTCTAAAATCTCTAGTTGGAAGATCTTAAGTACTTCATAAATAGCTTTTGAATCTTCAGGTCAGAATACATATATTAGATTGCTTTTAGCCTGTGATTTAGTCAATCACAAGCTAACCCACCTTACAGGATAAAACTTTTCAAATGCAGCATCTTAAGCAATAACAAATATCAAGTATTCCAACTTAGTAGCAATTAATTGGGCTTAATTGTTTTATCACAAGAGAAACAAACTAGAAAAATAAGCTCATATATAATTGTTGTGTATGTGACATATGACATCATTTGAGCCGAAAAAAAAATCACATACATTTATTATCCTCTTCATTAACTTGTTGAATTGTTTATGTAATTAGTGCCATCTACTGGCATTCAACTAAACCTGCATATGGAAAATATTGAACAACAAAAGAATAGTGCTGTTATTCTAGTTATCAACTTTTTTGAAGGATCAAAATACTTTTAGAATATCCTACTTTAAAATTAGAATAAAAGTCAAAACAGAAGAATCTTGCTAAACCAAATCACCTACGTTTTCTTCATTGTTTGTCTTTGGCAGCTGAATGTTTTCAAATTTGCCATTTCATCACTTGAAACATATTTGAAAGAAAGAAATGGATCAATGGTAGGTTTTATCTTGAAGCATATCAACTTGAAATTACTATTAGTCATTTCTGCAAGTGCATAGAGGAGGCTCTTCTAAGCATCAAGATAGTATTAATTGTTAAGATAGTTATATCAAATTCAACAGGGTGGGTTAAGCCACTGATAAACGGACAGAGGAATAGGGAGCTCAAACATGAGAAAGAATGGGATGATTTTCTTAAAAAGAAAAAAGTTAACATATAGGTAATAAAAAAATAGAGTATTAAATGGAATAGGTACAATTTGACACCAATTAAATTAATAAAAAATAAAATCCAAAGCTGAAACGATCACTAAAACTAGCATATTCAGGTACTACTGCTGGGGAGAGTATCTATTAGGACGATTTGGCAATAGATACAAAATGACATACAAATGCTTATTCCCATTGACTCAGTAATCTCACTTTTGGCACTTCATCCTAATAAAATCTTCAGAAGAAGATCAATATACTATATGACTTAAACTTTCATTAATCAAAGCAGTAAACATATGAGAAACAATGTCAGTGTTTAATGCAGGGACATTAAAAGAATATAATACACCATTCTAATGGTCCAATATGTAGAAAATGTGCACAGTAAACACTGTAAAAAGAACATCATTTTCTGATATAATAAACAAAACACAATTTTTAACTAGACTGCATTTTTTTAATCTCTAAGAATACAGAGTCATGAGCTGAATGTGAAATTGAAAATTTCGCTTCTGAGGAAAAAAATCATTTGGCCGGGCATAGTGGCTCACACCTGTAATCCCAGCACTTTGGGAGGCCGAGGTGGGTGGATCATGAGGTCATGAGTTCGAGACAAGCCTGAACAACATGGTGAAACCTCGTCTCTACTAAAAAGACAAAAAATTAGGTGGGCGTGGTGGTGCATGCCTGTAATCCCAGCTACTCAGGAGGCTGAGGAAGGAGAATTGCCTGAACCTGGGAGGCGGAGGTTGCAGTGAGCCAAGATCATGTCACTGCACTCCAGCCTGGGCAACAGAGTGAGACTTCATCTAAAAAAAAAGTCATTTTTGTTTTAATATTTGTTATTTTGCATTAGTACGATATTTACAGACTCAAAATCAAACAGTAGTATTTTTAGCATGATTTCAGTGTGTTTGGTTGGACGCCTGTTGAAAATATACAATCTATATATAGTCTCATTTCTCAGTTAACTAAAACACTCTAGAATCAAACTCAATAATAGCATTTACTGCATACAGCAAATAGATCTAGATTACCAAACTATTACCATGAAGCTAATGCCAGTATCACTGACTTTTGCTATGAAAGCAAAAGACAGTGTCTAAAGGCACAGATATAGTTGCTGCTATTACAAAACAATTAACATTTATCCTTGTGGAATGCTGCCTTTTCTTCCACACTGCTTTTATAAAGCAATGCAGTTTCTATTTTCCACTTTTCAGATCTTCACACTATTTGAAAGCCCTTTTGAGGTAACTTCTGCCACAGGCTTGCCTTTTCTAGAAATTTCCCAGGGTACAAAATTCCCTCTTTTTTCCTTCTCCTCCTCAAGCCAAACCTAAAGTGATAAAAATAATGTATTCCAATATATGAAAGAACACATAATTGGCCCTTACTATCCAGACGGTGCCATTTGGATTTTAAATGAAGACCTTACTATCGATCATCTATTAAATCTCTGATGAATGGCATAAACAGCCACAAAACTGACACCAATAACTTGGTTACCTTTTTTCAAGTGAATTCCTTTTATAATAGACTGAATTGTTACAAAAATACTTATGTTGGACCAATATCAGAGCATATATGTGTAAGCTCAGGAATATAAAATAAAAATAAAAATTTTGGTAAATGCATAATTAAAATCATTTATTTTACTCAAGCAAGTTAAATAAGCCTGGAAGCCTCCCATCACTCATAGGTTCCTATATGAAAAATCTAGATATAAGAGGTTATACTCTTTGGATAGTTGCATAGGTATAGTCACATGTTCTAGGATAGTTGCATAGGTATAGTCACATGTTCTAGCTCATACAATTATATGCATTAAATATACGAAGTTTTTGTATATCAATTATGCTTCAATAAAGCTGTTAAAATTTAAAAAAACATAAAATGCAGAATGTGCCAATGAGTTTAAAAACATAATCAATAGGTCATAAAAATACCTAAAATTATAAATTGTAACCTATCCTAGAATTTTCCAAAATCTCTGAAAGATAGCAAGCTAGAGTTAAATTAGAGATTTCCTAGTAAACAAGGTAGTAAAGAGGGAGGTCTGACGTGAAACCAGAATTTTTGATGTACTTTAATGTTTGAAAGGCAGAAATGGGAATGCTATATATTTTTCTGCAAAATTGTATTCATAGCAAAAGTTAGAATTTTTATACCTAAGGAAATCTTGACTGAGTGCTAACCCTCACTGAACACTGCCCAGATTTTGCGAGCACAGAGGATTAAAAAGAAAAATTCCCACTGTCTTTGACTAACATTGAAAGGGCTCAGGCCCTTATATAAACACAAAGGTTCTCAAACGTAGCCTTTTTTTCCCCCTTCATAAAGACATTCCCTACAATAGGATGTTTTCCCTTTCTCCTAAGGTAATATTCTGCCCACCTTGGGCTTTACCCAAGTGTCATTCACACTAGGAGCCCTGACCTTGACCAGCTTTGCCTACGACTGTGAAATTTACTATTGGGATAACTCCAGACCTCAGAAGGAGTGTAAATTCAAAAATACAACAGACTTCACACACCCTTTTCTCTTTCTGAATTCCATTTACAATGGTATACACCACAGGGAATTGCTTGTATGGTGATCATGGTGTGTGAAGAAATTTAAAATACTGTGAGCACTAGCTTATAAAAAAAGATTGACTTTGTGTGTGTGTGTGTGTGTGTGTGTGTGTGTGTGTTTTCTATGAAGAATATAAAATGTTAAATCCCAAAAGATTTCTTTTCCAACCAGGATAGAAATGTTTCATATTCAAACCCATTATGCTGCTACTGAAATATGTGCTTGATGTATATACACAGTATTTTAGGCAGAAAAAATGATCGTGGACTATGAGACAACCTCAATTAATTTCAAAAATTTTGAGTATTTTTTTTCATTTTAATATTTGTCTTCTCTCATTTACTTATTTTAGTGGTACTGACCCTACGTGGGAGAAAAGAGTGGAGGAAGAGAAAGAGTAGCTAAAAGTCTGGGCAATACAATGAGCCTGCTAGGTTTGAATCCTGGTGTGATCACTTAGTAGTTGTGTGGCAAATGGGAAAGTTAATTATCTTTTCTGTGCCTCAGTTTTCTCCTTTGCTAAATGGGAATTTTAACAGTATTTATGTGGAAAGATGATTGTGTGAATTAACTTAGACAATTCAGGGAAAACATTTACAAAGGTGCCTGGCATGCCCGAAGGATTAAATATTAATCACCATCATCATCATCATCATCATCATCATCATCACTATCCCTACTGCTAGTACATCTACTACTAATTTTAATGAGTCAAACTATATTCCCCACAGTGTGAGCCCCTTCTGAATGCAAAGCAAGTAGCTTGCTGTTTTATAGACATTGTCTAGAAATGCTGCAGCTCTAAAAGTCTTCCTTTAACTTGAAAGAGAAAAGTGAGTGCATAGCCCTATGATTAAAATTTTAAGGTTGAATATTGGTTAAATTTCCTTTTAAAATGTGTTTTGTGATATTCACCTACAAGTAAAATAAGTGTTTGTTCCAGATGAACAATTATTTAAATTTTTAATGACTGTGTCTCAAAGGAACTTCAAGAAAGGCAGTGCAGAGTAATGAAAAGGCATCTTCCCAGGAAGTTTTACTTGTCGGTTGTTTTGCAGTTTGATCTTAAGGAAGTCATTAACCTTGTAAAAGTCCCATGTTTTGTCATCTGTAAAATAGATGGGGTCACCTGCTCTGCCCATGCCTCTGGCTTTTCCTGAGGAAATCAAGCAACTGCTTGGAAAATTATAAAACAAGATCCTAATATGTTTATGAACAAAAAGTTCTACATGTTGGATTTGTTATTTTGCCTTGGATACTGTGTTTACATTCATGAACCAAGGGATTCATGGGAAAATTTAGCTCTGGGAGCTAACCACTAAGAGGTTGTTTGCTCTTATATTCACTCTCATAATCTCCTACTCCACTCAGTATTGAGATGTACTATAGGAGCTCAGAATTCCTGGGATTTCTTGTTAGCTGGCTTCTAACTAGATTAAGCCATGACATGCACTAGTGGGAGACAGAAGAGCATGAGAAAGGGTAAAACAAGAGAATTATCCTCCCTTCTCTCTCTCTGTATGGGTGGTATCACCTTTGT